AATCCTAATCCTATGAAGGGCTGCTGCTGCCCGGCCTGCCGCATCAGCGCTGTCGGCGTAGACAGCGTTGCAGCCGGCTGCCAGCTGTGCGGTCCGCCCGCGGCAGGAATTTGCGCGATGCATGGCAGCCAAAGGCCGCCCTCCTATGTGGTCGGGGTGCATCAAGCCGCCCAGCTGGACGCAAACCGTCGTGGACACAGCGCATGCCGGTGCCGTCACTGCACAAGGGCAGCCAGGTGCAGCGGCAGCAGCTGCGCGACTGTGGTCGGTGGTGCTGGCGCCTGTACTGTGTTTATGCCTGATGTCTGCATATATTTGGCTTTCTTGCTGGTGTGTACGCTTTCGGCTGGCCTGCAATCTTGCATGCCACTCTCCCTCACCACTGGCGAACACATGCAAGCATGCGCAACAGTCTTGAAGCGAAGTGAAGTGTTACTCAAGTGGTCGCTGTTTTTGTTCCATGCGCGGCTTAGGACACAAGATGTTGCAAGGGTTGCAAAACAACCAAGGGAGGCCACACAGAGGGCGTGGTGTCAGTGCATTCAGTGGTGTCAACCTTAGTCAAAAAATAATTAGTTAGTGTGCTTGCTGTGTCAGTCCAGGGGTCAATATCTGTTGGCAGAGTCTTGTATGTAAGGTGGTCCAACGCGTGAGGAATAGCGAGCAAGGCCCCCTCCAAAAACTGGCAGGCTGTGTGCCGCATCGGAAAATCAAGGCGTGCAAGCAGCGAGGGGCGGCCGGCGCCACCGCCTGCCTGGCCGCCCCATCGCATGCCCCTGCAGATGCACCCGGATGCATGTGTGCACTTGCGCGCCGGCCCCGATTACGATTTTGTTCCCCACGCACAGCGCCCTGCCGCGACGACCCCCCACCCCACCGGCTCTTTACGACAGGATCCCATCCACCCGAGACGACCAGGCCATGTCCGCTATCGCGGTCCCCTTGACCCCCTCGGCCGCCCCCGCCCCCGCCGCCGACGCGTCGGCCAGCAGCAGCGCGGCGTTCAGGCCGGCCACCAGCTTGGCCCACTCCTCTTCACTGGGCACCATCACGCCGTGGCGCTGCCTGTCGGCCGTCACCACCTCCAGCTGCGCCCCCAGCGGCACCCACAGGCCCGCGGCGAGCACGACGCGCTCGACGCGGCCCGACGGCGCGGGCGTGCACAGGGGGTCGGTCGAGACGCTGAGCGAGCCGTCGGGGCCAAACAGGAACTGCAGGTGGCCGCCGGCACCGCCGTTGCCGCCCGCGCCGACGGCGGCCCCGGGGGAAGCTCCGGCCGCGTTCGGTGAGCGCGGGGCAGCCGCGGTGGCGCCCCCCTCCTCATCGGAGGGCTGCTCATCCTCCATGCAGGGGCTGCCTCCGAAGCAGAGCCACCTGCTGCCAGGTCGGCTGCCCGACGGCGTCGCCGAGCGGCGTCCGCTCGGGGAGGCCACGCGCTGCTGCTGCTGCTGCTGCTGCTGCTGCTGTTGCTGCTGTTGCTGCTGTTGCTGCTGTTGTTGCTGTGGCGCGGCAGCCCGTCCACGCATGGAGGATTGCGGGAGCGCGGCGGCGTCGACCAGGGCGCCGATGCAGAGCGCTTTGCGCGCCGTGCCGACCGTCACGCCGGGCAGTGCGGCGTGCCGCAGCACGGCACGGCCAGTGGCCGTGTCGGCCAGCCGTGGGCCCTGCCAATCGGCACGCGCACCGGCAGCCATAGCGGCTGCCCGCCTGCGCGGCGTGTCAGTCCACGCGCTGAGCATGGGCGCGGCTGCCGCGCTTATGGGTACAGTAGGCGGCGCCGAGGCGCTGGCGGTCCCCCCGTGCGGCTGGGTCCTTTGACTGCTGCCGCCCGCCACCAGTGCCGCTGCCAGGGCAGCGAGCTCGGCCACGTGCGAGCCGCCCCGCTTGTGCGGCCAAGTTGCGCTGCCTGGCCGTACTGTGTTGTCAGAGTTCTGCTGCTGCTGCTGCTGCTGCTGCTTCTGCTGGACCATCTCCGCATCCACCGTGCCACCATCCGCGGCAGCCTTGCTCTCCGCGCCCCCGCCCCTCGCGGGCGAAGCCTGCTGCCCGCTCGCAATCGCAATCGCCGCCGCCGCTGCCGCTGCGGCTGCGCCGCCCTTGCGGCCCGCGGCCAAGCTCCATGTGCCGAGACCAGCGCCGCCGATGAGCAGGTGCGAGGGCACATTCAGGAACTCCCCCCCGTGGTCAAACAGCAGATCAGTGGAGTCGAGGGCCGGGCCGCGCGTCGAGCCGCCCGCGCCGCTCGGCCGCGCGGACGACATGAGCGCCGCGAGCGCGGCGGCGCGGTCGACGCTGCTGCGGCCCTTTGATGCGAGCGCGTTATAGGCCCTGAGCATGTCGTCCAGCGCAAAGCCGGCGCTGGTGGAGCCCGCCGGCGCGGCCCCCTCCGCCTCCAAGCCGGCCCCCAGCTCCGCCTCCCCCTGCGACACCGCCCGGTACATGGCCAACAGCTGCTGCCCCGTCGGCCCCGCCGCGCCCGCGCCCGCGCCGACGCCCGCGCCTGCGCCG